TGATTGTTGCTGTGCAAGAGCAGCTTGATAAAGAGCCCTTTGTTCCTGCACCTTCTCATCTCAAAGCTCGTCCTGACATGGTCATAGTTAATGGAGAGGATGGCGAAAGCCTTTCTCTGAGTTATTTTGGTGACGCATGTCAAGCCCTTAGCTTTCAGCTACGCCATTGTTTCCATTCAGTTTTTTTATGTGAATGGAGTACAGTTGAAATCTTCAGACTCCATGAGAGCCCAGGTTCTATCAAACACTCGCTCGGTGGAGTTGTGAAGCTTAACTGTACTGAACTTTACTTTGGCTTTCCAGATAAGCTTTGAATATATAGAGGTGTCCTGTCCTTTCCTCCTCTTCAGTAGTGACGCTCACCGCTTCACTTGGGCAGCAACTCCCTGAACACAAGGATGTACAGCAGCTCACTGATGCGGATCTCCTCGACCACAGCCAGGACGGCGACAGCAGGCAAAACAGCAGGTCCACACGGCCCAGCTGAGCTCCCTCAATTTGACACATGCCGCACATCATTCTGCCGATGAAGAAAGTGTTCCACAGTGTACCCATGTCCGGCTTGTTCTGGCGAAGAGTCCCAACAATGGTCAGGTTCTTCACAAGGAGCTTCTCAGCCAGAGGGACACAGATGAAGACGTTGTCCATTGTGATGTTGCAACCTATGAGGGGGGGATTGTGAATTTACTCAACATAGAATTCTCTAAATTCTAACACCATAATCTATTGGATTGCATTAGATTTTATTCTTTTCTACTAGTTGCTAGCTAGCTAATAGTAATGTATTCACTCAAATATTATGTATAGTTATCTTTTACAATTGTTATTAAATATTTTCTAAGGTAATATTATAACAACTAACGAAGAATCCTGGCACCGTTACTCTTTTCTTTATATATGTCACCACTTGGTTCAATCATATCAAGGCATAATGTTCATTTTCATTTTTATGCGGATGATATTCAGATTTACGTGCTGCTGATACAATGCGATTCGAATGCACTTACTCCACTACACAATTGCATTCGTGATATTAAGCTAGCCCAAAATTTCCT